ATTGGAAGAAATTCGGTACACACATAGCCAAACACAAGTTCTATAAATAGCGTATGCTGAATAAAATTTTCCTCCTTGTTTGTGATGTCACAATGTAAAAATGTCGTCACTATGTAGGTCACTTGTGGCGAAAAATGGTTTTCTCAGTCGTACTTTTTCAACAAACGACTGTACAATTTATTGTATATCTTAGAAATCCCTCTACAGTATCATATAGTAATTTGTACACAGTTTATTGGGAAAAATGAGTTCCTATAAATCAATTAATGATTGGATTAATCGTTTTAGTGAAGGAAGGCTGATGGTTAAAAATGATACTTGTCATCTTGCCCAGTGAAAGCAAGTTTGAAAAGATATGTGTTTTTAATTTAGCAATTTGCTATCAAACACCTCCAAATAGCACTTTGAAAAATAGTTGAATATTTGAACAATGATATAAGTACTAAATACCTAAGATATCGTTTACTTTAGATTTTAAACATATTAGATATGACAAAAAGGGTGCACCCATTCTCTATCCACCTTGCATAAAGGTCTCTCCAGAGACAGAAGATTTGTGTTTTAATGGTCGCCATGCTTATTTTTGGAAAGGATGTTCTTATCCACCCATTCTGTTGCCGAGATTTAACCATTTCTGACAAATGAACTGTTCTTGTCATAAAAATTAACTCACATGGAAAGAAATATAAAACTCAGAAAAATCTTTCAACTTTTGTACAGACGGAGGGGGTCGCGTGACCTCCAATATCACGCGATTCGCGCATGCGCGGAACGGTGGTTGTTGTTCATTAAAATCGGGGAGGATTAATTTAAAATAAATCAAAATAAAAAACCAAATATTTTTTCTTGTATGGAAGTTATTCAATTAGTTTGCGAACTTTTTGGTCACCCCTCGTACAGGCATTTGATCACCTTTTCACGACGGTTTTCAAAATTTAATAATAAATTGATACTTATATTCCAGAGATGAGATGATGTAATGTGTCAGGGTAATTGACAGTAACTTATTACAAATTTGTATGTAATTGAAAGTGTAATGGACCAAATTTTCAATGACTTGTTATTGTAAGTTTACCTATTGGCTTTGAGAAAATGCATTATTTTTTATAAATACACTCAATTACACTGTTTTTTAATGAATGAAAAATAGCCTTCCCCTCCTTCACACCCCCATGCACACTATTCAAGAAAGCTAAACTGATATATTGGACTAGCTCTGCTGATTGTTAATTCTTTTAAAGGAATACACATATTTCTCCTTTTTGTGAATTGCTGTTTCCTTTTACTGCATTTTCTTTAATATTTTCTGAAAAAAATATTTTTGAGTGTATGATTTAACAATTAATTTGATTATTTTGATTAAGTTGTTTATGAATTGGCAGTTAAAATACGCAATCCAACATTCTCTAGTCCTCTATTTGCCATATCTGTTTGTAAATTGTGTTAGACGTGATTAACAGCTAGGTGCTAATTAGTGCCCTAAGGCAATGAGTATACTCATGAGCATACGCTGGACATCAATAAATATACCTTTGCATTCATTGTGGATTGACCCATAATATGTCTTACACTTACTTCCAGAGATAGCATAATGGGGCTCTCTTAGCCGTCACAACATGGCGTAGTTCCATAGAAACACCATTTTGGTCCCAAAATAATCTGATTTAAATTCACTAAACACCGATAAATCATCGTTAATTTAATAATAACATTTCAAAAACATTGTAATGGTAATGGCAATAAATTTGAAGTCTTTGGGCAAGTAATGTATTTAATTAATTACTTTCATATGTTATTGACCCCATCTCTTTTTTAAGTTCAAGAACGTTGCTGAGATTCGTTTATTAAAGGATACATGAGAAATAAATTCATAAGTTGTAGATTTTACACACAGTTATCCATGATAATAAACCAGAATATAGTTGGGTATTCTTTTGAAATAATATTTCTAAAATTTTATCTAATCCCCAGAAGCAGAGGAGAAGATTTTCGAAGATTTAATGCATTTTCATTGTATAATCAATAGAGTCCAAACACCAGAACCCCTTACCCTGAGGCCATGAAATTCACAATTTCGGTAGTCGCTGCTTACTACAATTGTTTCAACAGTTTGAATGACTGATGCCAAGGAGTAAAGAAGCCCTTTAAAGATTGCATTAAATTTCATTGTTTTGGTCCCATCCTTCAGGCCTCAGGGGGACAGAGACTACAAACTTCATAATTTTGTTTCCCTTCACCAATAGATGCTTTTTGCCAAAACCGGTTGAAATTGGATGAGCGTTTGTGAGGATGCTGAAAACGCACCAAAATGGGACAAAGTTAAAGCATCAAATTAAAATAAGGTGGAATATAATGGAAGAATAAAACTTTACCTCTTGAATTCCGTCATGTAGAAAACGAATTCCTGAATCATCATCATCACCAGTGAGTATGAAATATACATTAGATTTAGTACCCGCTCCTCTCCAGAATCCAGTGTATACACTTATCAAATAGAAATACTTATGCCTTGCGTCATGGTCGCTCAGGAATGTTACCACCTGCTGAAAAATTCTTGAAATATTTATTTAGTTTATGGATTAGTATACGTGTATTTACCGGTAAAATTTTTTTCTTGAAACTTTTTTTCAAATAATCCTTGGTACGCATGTTTTCAAATGTAATCATTTGATAAACTTGAATAGGACACAATACGAATTGTCATACAAAGATTTTAATTGAATTTTAAATTAGTAATGGATCTTTACCCTTTGATAGTCTTTTTTATCCTGTATTCGAAGCACAATAACTATTAATATATAAATAACAAAGACAGCAGTCAGTGTGCCATATACTGCAGCATTTGAGCCGTCGAATTTACTCCAAACTGTTAGAAAATCGATTACGTTAGCTGGCACATAGAAGGATGTAGAAAAGGTATCGCCAACACACCGACACACCGTGTTATTCAAATCACTCATCGGCAGCACCTGAAAGAAATACAGTTCCTACATTTCATAAATCTAATAACAAAACAAATTATTTTGATCATTTGAATTTAATTGATTTTTTTCGTATATTTATTACCTTTTAGAGAATTATAATTCTAATGTGATAACACAATAAATTGATTTCGAGCTTTATTAGCTTTATGAAGAATTATGATTTATGCCCTTTTCTAATTTTATCTTATACTCATTTTGCGAAGCCTTTAGTATTGAGTACTGCTTTAAGATTACAAATCTGCTTTGCACTAGAACACTTAGTTGGAATGCTTGTATAAACGTTTAAAAACGTATATTTTCTTACCAATAAATTGTAAACTCTTACAAAATGTTAAAATAAAACGATGACTCCTCCTTTTGTGTAAAAATGAAAATTGGATAAATCCTCAACTCAAAAAGTACTAGATACTATGACAAATGGTATACCAGTTTAACAAGTAAATATTTTAATTGATATATTTCAATTTGAAAATGACTTGAAAACTCATCGCACGCTTGATGTTAATATGTCCTTCACAAGCTGAAGACAAAAAAGATTAAGGATGACAAAGCTTTTTTGTAAATCGAAGAAAATACCAGAAAGATCACCCCTCAGCTGATTTGAGATACCTTGAATAACTGTTTAAGGACATAAGTTATAGATCAGGCCTCATAATAAACATTTTGAAAAAATTGATGACCTGTAAGAGAGTGAATATCAAATGATTGATTTGTTTATTGTCATTTGACGTTCCTAGCTAGGACTTTTTCATTTATGTTTTAGAGGGTATTTTTTAAAGGGCTAATGGTTATCGTGGGAAGAGGCCTCAACATTTACGTTCTCTACCAATAACTCCGTCCCTATACTAATGAAGCTCCTGAATAAAATGATAGTTTTCACTGTAACTGAAAATTTACTTTAATATTCCTGTGAACTTTGAGAGTTTAAAGAAAACAAATCAAAAAGAATATAAAAATAAGGTTGAACAAAAAGGAACTCATAAATGCAATTAGATAAAAAATAAAACAAGTTAACAACAGTTAACAATTGATACCAGACATCTCTCCATTGTCCATGAGTTGTTTTCCTTTTTCCCAAGTTCTACATCCTGTTGTTGTAAATATCATACTGAAGTTAGCCTCAGCTAGGACAAAATCCGAAGCATTAAATTTGGAGGTCGTGTTCTCTGGTTGTTCAATAGTTGCTTGTTCTGCTGCTCTCCTTTTTCTTGTTCCAGAGAAATCATCGGTGTCGGGGGCTACAAACAATAATTTTATACCGTTATTGAATTTTGATACATCAACACTGTTTCTTTTTTCACATTAAAAAGGTTTTAAACAAATACATTGCCTCATTCATTTATTGCCTTTTATGTTTCCGCCAGAATTTCATTCTGGCATATATTTTTATCAAAACAGAATATAATCAACCATAATGGAGTTTAACCCGAATTGATGAAAATTTTGTCTCGCTTATACACACAGTAACATGTACAAAATACCAATCACACAGGTTTATAAATCTAGTGTTCTACAGTTCTTTGAATTAGTCCTTTCTATTTGAATACGAGAACACTTCAGAATAAAATTACTTTATAAAATCCGTTAATTAAGTATAGGTTCATGTAGTAATACATCAATATGTGTTATGTTTAAAGGAAAGTGTAAATCGTACACCTCATTTTAGGACTATTGCTTTTATGGCAGTAGGCGCACAGCATACGGTGACGTCTCCATATGAGTGAAAAATTCTCGAGAAGACGTTAAGCAATATACAATCAATCAGTAGGCGCATAATTTACCTGTGAGTGGTTTTATGCCAAGATAACACAGTCCTTCCCCACATATACCTCCTGGAAGAAACACCTTAAATCCATATCCTGTCCAATCATCGACACCAAGCACCTTCTTGTAATCAAACAAATCAGATTTTGGAAAAGTAGCTGAACTAAAATAAAACGAATATAAAGGCACCTCTTGATGACCCAAGAAGTCAAATTCATCAGGTTTGATGTAGATGAGCACTGCATCTCCACCATTTATTATTTCAAAAGCAAAATAAATCATCTGTTCTGGATATCGTGGATTGATCAGAGGAATATATCTCTTAAATTCCAGATTCCCTTTATTCGGAATATTGGTGTCCACAGATATGTTTTGAGGAATATTAATCACTGGAACGGAAGAAGTGGCCTTGGTTGCATTCTCTCCATATATGTAGGGGTTTCTTAAGTAGTTAGACACCTAAGTACAAAAATAATCAAAACAGTTATTATTTTCTTGTTAACTTCACTTTCCTTAAGACACTTTTCAATTTCACTTAAACTATTCCAGATGTACGCTGATATCATTTTCATAATAATGCAATGTTGATATTAAATTTTACGCATAATAAAATAATATTAGATTTAATATCAGGAAATACCGCAAATTCCAGGTAGGATGCATGGGTGATTGAGTCATTCACTTCATGTACACGTCTAAAAAACTCATCTGTGACATTTTCAAGATCGTTGAAGGGGATCTTCCTGATCATTATTTCCAGTACATGATTAGCATTCCAATAAAATCGTTCGCCCAAAACAATAGTTTTTTGCATGACATTTAAAAAGACGGACTGGATTTGTTTTATAATTGGGATACATTTTCTTGCCTGAAATAATTGTAAAATAAATATTTTTCTTCCAATGCAATATGCAATGCAATAAATTAAATCAAAACAAATGAAAAATATTTCTTTCATTTCATACTGTAGCTGTCAAAAATGGTAAACAAGTAGAACTAATCAAAATTACCATTTGTAATATTTCTATCTAAAATTGGTAAGAAAGCATTACTTTTTTCTAGCCGTGTTTGTTTTAATGTTGGACAGCAAATTTTGTAAAGGTTACTAATTAGCTTATTTGTAAATATTATTAATTTCATACCGTTTCTCTCTGCTTAAGTTGAAACTGTCGCTAATGTGCTTGTATTTGATAAATAAAATCGACTTGTCTATTTATGCTTTGATAGTCTAAAGTTATGTTTCTTTGATTTTGTTTTAACAGGCTGGTTTCTTGTAGAAAGAACTTGATGTGCAACATGATTTCCGCTCTTATATCATCTTCGGAAAGTTCTACATCCAAGTTCTGAAGTTTCCTCGGTAGCATCTTGTTCAAGACATTGTCCAATACACGATGATAAACTATCATGAACATTTTGAAATTATTTAGATTTTAGAGAATAATAAGCAGCTATTAAAAATGCTTAGAACGGATTACAGAATTTTCTATGAACAAAAATAATTCTCTTTTTGTTTTTTAATTCATTCATTTATTTATGGATTTAAAATCATTTTGTATAATTAGCCCTCAGTGACCCTAGGCACATTTGAAAATGGTCTAGTCAGAAATATGAAAGATGGAGTATTTCAAGAAAAAAAAAACAATTTGTGAAAGTATATTTTTACATGTATATATCTAGAAGTAAAATTAATTTGATTTTTTTAAAGACTTTAAACATGTTAAGTTGGGGGTCTTTAAAATCTTAACAGTCTACAGCCTTACCAATAGCAATATCTGATAAACTTTCTACTGCCGTCGGAGATAAAGGATTTCTCCTGCTGCCATATTCCAAACAATCAATTACAGTGTCCACAATGACCACCATTATCTTCTGTTTAAAATGGATTCATTTGTATAAGTTTATTAACATTTAGTTATAAATTTTGAAATGTACATAATAACAATATTTATTTCATGACTTATCTCTGATTTTAACAAGAGAAATTGATGTTATAAGACAGAATTTACAGATAATTCTGAAAAGTGAGAACCACAAACCACTCCCTCCAAAGACAAATACGGTTCAAAGCGAGTCAGAGCATCAAAGGTGCTGAAGATCTGCTGTATGTCTGTTAATTTGAATCTGTCGATGGAATTTGTACAGCCAGGGGTAACAATGCTTTTGACCAGCTGAAGAAGCTTCACAGTTTTCTGTTTTGAAATAAGAAATGCTTGTTAGGATTTGTAAAAGTAAACAATAATATGAAGTCCATGTATATTATTCTATTTACAGCCTACCTCTTGATAAACAACAAACACAGGTCCCCCTCCGGATGTGTCGATATTAATGGACTCTGTATCACCGTTTACCTCTACTTCAGATGTTGTTTGGTCAATCTTAAAAAAAATTAATAATATGAAAGTAGAAACTTTAAATATCTGACTCTTTCCTTAGAAAACACCTCCGTATAAAGTTTTAAACAAATGTTCAATGTGTATTTAGTAAGCAAGAAGTCATGAGATCAAGTACGTACAAAGGGAAATCGTTTGAAACCGGCTGCAACAGCTCCCAATAAATTCAAGGTCTGAATGTCATTTCCTGACAGATTGTACTTGTTGAACTTTGAATCAAAGTTTTGAAACGAGGACTCAATTGTGGAAACATCTTCTAAATCTTTAGGTTGAGAGATGATAGGCGGGATGACCTGTATAGGTAAAGCGTCACACTTCACATATGTATAAATTCTTGCACAAAACAGAATGCTTTGTTTAGTAGTAAAATCAGTCAAAATAGAGTGATTCTGAGTGTTATTGGTCTAAACAATTGCATTTGGATATATGAAAAAGAAATTAATGTAACAAGGCGTTACTGTAATATTTGAAGAATATTGTCCATAATCTCCATAGATGTCGAAAATCCGAACTCGGACGGTAACTGTGTGATTGAAAACTGGATCTCCTGGCTGTACAGGGACTTCTAAGATGCGACTCTCGCCTTAAACAAAGGTAACAATATATTCTTCTGCGCGAATAAACAACATTAAGGTGGCTAGGTAAGCTATGAATCAATGTTTTACAGTTTTTTAGATGGGCACCATTACAACTGATGTGTGTTCCACAAAACTCAAAGTCGATGACATGCTACAAATGTACAGGCTTTAAAATATTTCTCCCTTTCTGATCCCAAGTGCTTTTGTTTGGGGGGATCAGTCGGAGGGGGTAAAATCAGGAAACTGGTCGTGAAAGTCTTTGAATTGCTTTACATCTAAGAATTTTTTTATTGCTATGTCATAGTTTATAATACGCATATCAATTTTTTTCTTCTAAAAACTTAAGAAACACAAAAATTGAAAAATATCTGTATACCGTATAACAAGTTTTATAAATCCGTAAAATTTAAACGCGTAAAATTCATACATAATTTTACAAAAAAACGGTTCATGTTAATTTTCAACATCATATGCATAAAAGTAATGCTAATTGCCATTAAGATCACTCCCTGGAGGCTATATAATTAGTGTACTGTTGGTATTATGAGCACTTTTAAATCAATCATCAATTGTGATCATACGGGTAAATCTCAAATTACTTGTATGAATTATACAATCACCGTCAATTAGTTAATCAGTTAAGACATACCTGGTTACTACTTTTTAGTATTTTTATGAGACGCATAATTTTCAATGATGACATATGTATTACAAGTCTTCCATTTTTACCCGTGTCTCAAATCTTTAACCCTTTTTTCTTTTTCATGTGCTTTGAATAAAACTTTTAATACGCTGTGTGTCAATTAAATTATGATAGTTTGAGTTGTCTCTCTTTGATTTCGGTAAACACAAGACGAGCATGTAGTGTTTGTGTCTTTATAAAACACGACTAAAGGAAAATGACGAAACATTATACAATGTATTTGAATTATATAAATGTTATGATTTTAGAAATTGAACTCTGTCTCTCTCTTACATCGGGTTTTCGGAATCATTTATATGTAAACGCATTCGAAGTGCTATTAATAATTGATCTGGGATTTTACCTCTGATGATTTTTGTTTTCACGGACATGTTCTATTCGTAAAAAAATAAAGCGTAAAACGTAAAAATTTATATCACCCTATCTGGACCAAAATTCGTTTTTCAAACAAAATCTAGTATACATTTTTTTGAAGTCAAAGAAGAAGTCTTTTGGACAAAACATCCAAGCGATAAAAAAATATACTGAAAGGAAAAAGAAACGCATAATAGCATAATAGCAAAATATATTTGACTATAAGGCCGAAAATTATGAAAATTGGTCAAATGTGTATTTTGATTACTGTGCACTAAAATTGCTGGTCAAAATTACTCAACCATGAAATGTATGGCGTCACGTAGGGGAAATTACAAAAAGCCAAAAACACGTGCATCTTGATGATGACAATTTTTTGATCACATTTTGTGGTCATAAACGATGCATTGAAGTTATAGACATCGTTTTCCGCATTTGAAATCAGTATAAATTTCGTGCAATCATGGTATGGCTGACGGAAGTTACAATGGTTCCAGTTATTGAATTGCGTAAGTGAATGAAAAGGCAACAAGATGTTGCTGTGCAGTTTGTTTTAAACTTTTCAACAAGAAAGGGTTTTTCAGTTGTCAGAGAGTAAATTAAAAGGTTTCCAACCAACCACAGCGGTGACGTTGACGCGTAACAACGTCACATCAAGACAGGGCTTTTCATCATGTCACCTCGGTTGTTGTCAAGGTATTATCACTGAAACCGATATTTATACAGCAAACTATCATACCAATATTTTCACCCTAGAATTGACAGAAATTCTCTGCTCTAATTTGGTCCGCGAGCTTGGCAACTTTTACGTCGATTTTACTCTCACGCGTGCACGTACACGTCGTGTGCGTAATGTTTTTAGCATGTTCACACTGGGAAAATGTAGCCAGTGTTTGTCGAGACTTTATCACAAACATTCACATGTTCCAAACCAGCTGGATCCTGTAAATTCTATCCTAAAATGAAAATTCGTGGCACTCATTTGGCGGGGGGATTTGTTGGCTTTGGAATAATACAGCTTCTATCAACCATGAAGACTATTGTCGGAAGAGTTGAATAATAATCAAATGAGAAAGATAAATGCTCTGGTGAACTCAATGCACAGGAAAATCAAGGCTGGTACCAATGTGCAAGGGAGATTATGAGAATTTTTATTTTAATTTTGGGGGGTATCGACATATCAATTTCAACTAGTGCTAATTGTAACGGGGACCGTTACAGATGTTCCCCAAACGCTCCCTAACTCCCTTTTGGTGCCATATTCCCTGTAAGCTTCATTAAATAAGACAAACTCGATGCATTTGAGACTTTAACAACGTTTTCCCAGAAGTGTACAAAGTTCATTCAAATTTTAGCATTGTACGCGTGCGCTTGTGAATGCATGTGCGTAATGACCATATCATCTTGTCTACACAATCTATATATTTAAATATACTAAATATTAAAGTATTTAATCCAAACGTATTAAAAAGATACGCTCATTCAAGTGTTTTTTTTATTTTTGCTCATTTCACATGCACGCACGTGTATACATGAGCATGGTGACCATATCTTCTTGTAGGTGTCCGTTACAACTATCTATGTTCTAAATCTCACCCCGTTT